CCACACGGCCTGACCCTCACCCAGCCTCCCTACACGGCCTGACCCTCACCAGCCTCCCTACACAGCACCCAGCCTCACCATACAGCCTGACCCTCACCCAGCCTCACCACATGGCCTGACCCTCACCAGCCTCACCACACGGCCTGACTCTCACCCAGCCTCCCTACACAGCTCCCAGCCTCACCATACAGCCTGACCCTCACCCAGCCTCACCATGCCTCCCTACATGGCCGTCGGGACGGTTTGAACAACCACACCCAAGCAAACGCGACCGAGGTCATCGCGAGGGGCCTGCAGGGTGAGTCGCTGCCACTGCCCCTGCAAGGGACCATGCAGCATCCTGGGGGCCCACTGGTGAGCTGGGGGATGAAGCCAGAATATTCCAGAAACAGCTCGAGTCTGCCCCAGAGACTGGGAAAGAGACAGGGGTTCCTGGAGAAGATCTTGGAATCTGCTTTAATGCCTGAAGAGACAGCTGGGGCTGGGACAGCCAGGAGGCTTCAGAAGGTGAAAGGGGGCAGGGACACTAGTCATACAGGAGGGCTGGGGCAGTGCTGGGTCCCCAGAGGAACGGTGATACCTTGGACAGCGAGTGAGCACACTCACTCCCAGGTGGGGAGACCAGGAGGCAGAGCCAGCCAGAGGGGCCCCGGCTGGCCCACGGCCAAGGTCAGCAGATGCCTGAGACCAAGGCCACCTCTAGCCCTGTCTGGGCCCCCTGACTCCTGCATAGTAGCAAAGGGAGGCACCCCACCCACCCAGACGGGCCAGTGGAGGCCAAGCCGGGAGACTGCTGTAGACCAGTCCTGAGTGAGTCGCCTGCATGGACTCTGCGTCCTCAGTGGCCAGGCTGGACATACAGGGAGGAACCCCAGAGGAGGCAGACGTGGGACCTGAAGGCCCTGGGCCTGCAGGGAGGGGGGCTCCCAGTGCTGTGGGCCCAGCCAGGCACAGAGGGCCCCTGGGGATGGCAGAAATAATGGGGGCTGACGCCACTGCTGGACACTGCCCACCGCGGCCCCAACCACCACTGTGTCCCGCATGCACCACAGCTGGTCCCTCCTCTCTCAGCCCTTCCTCATCAGAATAACCATGCCCCCCTGCCCCTCATGCACTGCCTGGGCTTCCCAACGCCAGGAGCTTCCTTCGTGGCCCAACTCAGCTCTTTGCCCCAAGAACTGTGGCTGTGGCTAGTGGGTTGCACCCCAAGAACATGTCCTTCCCTCTTTCCAGGGCAGGTATCCTAAGCCCTCCGCCTGGTGCCTATGAGGGGTCTTCTGCCACGACCCCCACCATTTCCAGGAGAAGGCCAGCAGGAGGGTACAGCCCAGGCCTCCAGACCCCACCACGACTTGAAGCAGAACTTCCTGACACCAGGACACCCTTGGATGGGGTCAGGAAAAGCTGGGCCCTGGGACCCTGAGGCCCCACAGCAGGTGACTCACCCCCTTTCCTTCTCCGAATTGAGGCTTGGAATTAAGAAACAGAGCAAAGGGGGTAAGAGGCAGCTTCTTTCTCGGCACCTGGGCCCCATTCCCCACGCCCATTTCCCAGCCGACACCTCCCATCCCATCAGCAACCAGGACCCCCACCCCCAGTATCCTAGCCTCTATTCCCATACCAGACTGCAAAAGTGCACATCTTCCAAAATGCCAAATCATTACACAGCTTGAAACTCAGAGAAACAACCCTATGCAGGAACATACATGTACACATGTGCATAACACACACACACGCAATATCCACATGCACGCACACACACACATGCAATGCACACACGTATATGCGCACATACACACAATGCACATGCTCGTGCGTGCACATACACACATGCATATGCACCCACGCACACATACACACAGGCATTCTTGCCCACACATGCATGCACGCACATGCACACATATACACACATACACGTGAAGAATTCCCACAGTTAAATCACTTTCAGTTTTGTTCAAATTTTTGTTCAGAAAAAAGGAAAAACTCCCATGAAAGCCAAGTTCAGAGGCCACTGCTGCTGACGGTGGCCTCCGGAGCTCTCTGTGCAGAGCATGTTGTAAGCAAAGGGTGGCCGTGTGTGTTTAGACTGAGGCCGGTCACAAGACCGCACGGTTAGTGCGGCATCTGCCCTGATGGGCTCTTTTCTGTTCTCATCACAAAAGGAAAAAGACCCAGGAAGTGAAGTACAATGAAGTCAAGTCTTCTGAGAACCAGGGTGGGCAGCAGGGCTTGGGCACACCGGGACCCTCCCTGGCCTGGGTGTCCACTGAGCCCTGTGGCCCCAGCACACCCCTGGCTCAAGCTGGACAGATTTGCACATGGAGACCAGGGGAGCCCCCAGCTGTAGGGACAGGGGAGCTGTCTTTCTGTTCTTCTACCACCGGTCAGGAGGAGGGTCCCCACCCACCCCTTCTTCTCACCTCAACTCAACCCTTCCTCTTCAGCTTCTGCTCACACCACCACCCCCCGCACCAGGACTCCACTCTCCACAGCCCCCTCCCACATCCTCTGAGCAGCACACAGTCACCCTGGGATACACCTGCACCCTTGCCATCTGCTCTGTCACCTCACACTTCCTGTCTTTCCAGGTGTCCAGTCTCCTTCCTCAAGAGACAGTGGGATCCCAGAAGGGTCCTCAGCTCGACACTGCGACTCATACGGCTGACTTGTTTGTGCTGGGAATGAACCAACAGGTCAACTTTCTATCCTTTAAAAGCACGAACGGCTGGACTGTGGGCTGATCCTTGAGTATCTGGGGAAACCTTGACCTGGCCCGGCCTTCCCCGCACAAGATGTTTCCAGAGGGACTGGTCAGAAGGTTGGCACATAGGGATAGCTGCCCTCTGGGGCGGGGGGCTGCCTAGTTCTCTGTCTGAACAGGGCAATGGGAAGAGCCTGGGGCCAGCTCCACACAAGTCATGATTTCTCACCCAGCAGTGTGGAGAGAATCTCAGGGAAAAGTTGGTGAAAATGATGCTGACCTGAAGCCACAAGCATGATCTCCTGGAAGACAAGTCTATGGAGCAGCCCGGAGCAACCATGTTGTGAGGCCAACAGTACAGGAGGGGGTGGGAACCCAAGTCGGGGAAAAGCGGGGAGGAGGAGGAGCTGCTTCTCCACACTGGTCTCGGCTCTTCAGACAGAAAACAGCTCAGGCAGCAGAAGGCAATTCTACTGCTTCTGCGAGGCAAAGTCCCTGATCCCAGGATTATGAATCTCAGGCTGCTCAAGCCTCTTTCTGTGCAGAATTAGCAGGGTCCCTTCTGAACATGCAGCTCAATGGGATCGTGCGACATCCTCTGGCAGAAGACTCCAGGGACCTGCCCACCAGAGCCTTGATCTGGTGTCCAGCCAGACCCAGCTGCCTGCTGGTATCTGGTTTGTCGATCTGTTTGGGTCCTCATTCAGTGTGACAGGTCAGTTCTCTCTGACTGACCCTGGACCCTTGAGACTCCAGGGCCAGAAGGGTAGCTCCTCTCCTCATTCTTGAATGAGTGGCTTTATATAGCTATAGAATTCCCAGGGGAGAGTTATTTTGCCAGAAAACTTTGGAAGTATTGTTCCATTGTCTTCTGGCATCTATTATTGCTGAAAAAAGTCAGCTGTCAGTTTAACCATCATTCCTTTATAAGGAATCTGACTTTTCTCTTTGGTAGTTTAACAATTTTGCTCTTGGCATTCTGCAGTTTTGCTGTCCTGGGTTTAGATGCAGATTTTTTTTTTATATCCCTGCTCTTGACTTACCCTTCGTCAAACTGGAGAAATTTACTCAGTTTTGGAAAATTCTTAGCCATTTACTCTTCAAATAGTGCCTCTTCTCCATTGATTTTATTCTTTTCCTCTGGAACTCCCATTAAGTAGATCCTGGGATTTTCTCGTTTGTCCTCCATGTCTCTTAACTGCTCTTTGATGTTTTCCATCTCCTTATTTTTATGTGCTGCATTCTCAATAATTTCCTTAGATTTCTCTTCCAATTCATTGTTTTTTTTTTCAGCCATATTTATTATATTGTTTGTCCCATCCATGGAGTTTTTAATCTCAATGACTATATTGTTTCAGTAAAAGTTATTTTGGGATCTTTCTAAAACTTGTTTGTACCATCCTGTTAGTCTATTATGAGTTCAGTTATTTCTTTTAATATTCTTAACAATGTAAACATTATTTTATTGCCTCTCATATTTTTCCATGATTTATTGTCTCTTTCACATTATTCTATGATTTCCAGTTCTTTTGACGCTAATTCCAGTCCTTGGGCTTGGTTTGGGCTTCCTCATTTCCCATGGTCCACAGTCATGTCTCCTGACCCCAGCCCTTAGGACCACTATCCAGTTCAAAGGTCTCACAGGCTATGGAAACATCAGCTTCCTCTCACTCTCCTGGCTCTGACTGCTCTCTTCAACTTTGAAGCCTAGGGATTTCTCTTCCTTTCTTGAGTGGGCTGTGTGTTTTTAGTTTAGTTTTATTCTACCTGGAGTGTCTATGGTAAGGAATTCCTAACCATGTCAGTCCAGCCTATCTTGGTGCTGTTGTCTACATTCGACTCAACTACAGCCTAGAGCACCTATTCGGGGTGAAGGGTGGGCTAGGCCAGGGTCAGAGCTCAGTTCAGGTACAAGGTCAGGGTTCATTCTATGGCAGTGGCAGAGCTAAGTCTGGGGCTAGGATTGGGTCTACACTATAAAAAGCAAGAATGCTACTCCAGTCATATATGTCAGGATATGGTAACAATGAGGCTGTTAATGGTCATGTATGTCAGGACATGGCCATACTGAGGCTGTTACAGGATTTGTCGTTGAGAAGGTTGGGAACAGTCACATATGTCAGGACATACCCACAAAGCCATTAATAGTCACATCATATCAGGACACACCCATGATAAGGTCCCATCAAAAGCCTGACACCCTCCTGTTCACCCCCACAGTGCACATGGCCCTTTCTCAACACCACACTGTTGGTTTCACGACAGCCCTGTGAGGTCAGCAGGCTCAGTGCCATTACCCCACCTGACCGATGAGCAAACAGGTACAGAGAGGGCAAACTAAACGCAAAGGTCACTCAGTGAGTGCTGGCAGAGCCAGGAGCAGGACCAGGTCCCCTGATTCCTGCTCCTTCCTCCCTCCCGGGTTGCCTTCGCTCAACCAGATGAGATGCAGGAGTAAAGTCAGAGATGTGGAGAGCACAGAGATGGCACATGCATGCACGCACACACACACAAGCACGTACACACACACACGCATGCACACACACGGAAAACACACCTGGGGGCCCAGGCCCTGCTCCCCAAACACATCTGTGCAGGTTGTCCCCGTCCTGCTCCAGCACCACCTAGTCCCCGAGCCCCACCCCACAGACAGCCAATTTTTCCCACCACAGCAGTGTACCATGCATTTGCCCTCTGACCCATTCATACGTCTGTCGGTCCACCCTTGCGCCTATCCCTCCGTCTCTGCACACGATCACCCGTCCCACCTGTGTCCGCCTGCCACTGCCCCGCCCGCCGCTCACCGAGCTCCTCCAGTTCCGCCGTCATGGACTTGGAGCGGAGCGTCAGTGTAGTGCTGGGGGCCCTCTTGGGAGGAGGCGGGGCTGCAAAGAAGAGGGAGGCTTTGGACCTCCTGTCCAGCAGCAGGCGGCGTGGCGTGGCCAGGTGCAGGTGCCACTTGCGCTCCACCGCCTGGACCTCCTCGTACTCCCGTGAGGAGGAGTCGCACTGTGCGAGGATCTTGTTGAGACTGCGGCTAGACGCAAACTTCTTCATGGCGCAGGGGCTCAGGGACCCCCGGGGTTGGGGCCGTGGGAAAGTGGTCAAGGGCCCTCGTGGGGGTCGCTGTGCCTGGCTCCGGCCTGGGCACCTGCACTGCAGGCTCTGAGGGCTGGGCCAGGGGGCACCAGAGCCATGGAGTGGGGGCTGGGAGGGGTCTCCCCACAGGCCCAGCTCCTGCTGTCCCTGAGCGCTCCTGGGCCCAGGCAGCCCCTACCCTCCCAGAGGGCGCGGGTGAGGCCAGCCGGAGCCACAGGGCCTGGGCTGGGCCGGGCCAGCAGAGCCTCCTGGGCCCGGGCTGCGGCCGCCGCGGCGCGGCAAGAAGACGCTTTTCCTCTTCCCTTCAGGTGCCGCCTCCCCCCTTCCCTCCGACAATAAGGCAGCAGCGCAGCGTCAACCTCACGGTTGCTATGGCAACCCCGGCCTCCAGGCAGCTGCTGCCGGTGTCGGAAGGAGGGCGGCCGCCACACCAGGGGCTGGGGGAGCCAGGAAGGAGGGGGCAGGGGACCCAGGGCAGGGCAGGGAAGGCCCAAAGGAGCCTGAGGGAGGGCCAGGGACCCCAAGAAGTCAGATGGACCTGAGGAGGGGCAACCTGGGTCAGGGGTTAGAGACCAGGGGTCAGCAGTCTAACATCAGTGATGGGGTCGGGACTCAGGCCCCAATCTAGGCCCCTCATCTAGGTTTAGGAATATGATGCCAACAATCTGGGGTCTGGGATGGGAAAAAGAATTGGGGCTGGGGTCGGTGGCTTGAGCCTGAGCCCTCACCTCGTCGACGAGCCCCGTCTTCTTCAGGCTTCCTGGTCACTGACACGACCTTCATGACAAGGCGGTTCCCACCCTGACGGATCAGGGCTACCACCTGCTTGTGGCCCACCTTCACCACGTTCACGCCGTTCACCTGTGGACACACAGGCTGCTCTGCCTCTCCCTCGGGCCGAGGGTGGGGGCCGGGGTCAGGCAGGTCGGGCCGGGCCTCACCTCAATAAGAAAGTCTCCAGTGCGCAGCCCGGCTCTCCAGGCCACGCCCTCCACATCCACCGACTCCAGGTACTGCAGCGCAGGGAAGGCAGGTGTGGGCGTGAACTCCTCGATGGGGGTCTCCGCTGCAAAGGGTTGGGCTCAGCGGGGTGGCACAGTCACCTCCACGGGTAGTTAACAGGGTGAGTAGGCAACTGCAGGGCACAGGGGGCTGGGCAGAGCCCAGCAGTGGAGGCTACCCAACCCAGTGCCCTAGAATCTGTGGCCCATCCCTCTGAGAGTTCCTTGCTCACATTAAGTGACCCCCCCACCGCGAGACTCTTGGATAACAAAGGTATGAGAACTGAAGAGAGGTCGGAACCCAGGGTGGGATAGGTCCAAACCCAAACCATAGTCACCACTTCGACAGAAGGCTGGGAGGGGCAGGTCAGGCAAGGGGGACAAGGGAGCCAGTAGACACACCCCGAGGGATTGCATACCCCCTCCGCCCACTCCACAAGGGCAGCCAGGCACTTCGGCTCCACCCCCTCCACAAGGGCCCGCCCAGCACTCTGGCTCCACCCCCTCTGCAAGGGCCGGCTCAGCACTTCAACTCCACCCCCTCCGCAAGGGCGCGCCCAGCACTTCGGCTCCACCCCCTCTACAAGAGCCGGCTCAGCACTTCGACTCCACCCCCTCCACAAGGGCTCGCCCAGCACTCTGGCTCCACCCCCTCCATAAGGGCCTGCCCAGCACTTCGGCTCCACCCCCTCCACAAGGGCCCACCCAGCACTCTGGCTCCACCCCCTCAAGGGCCCACCCAGCACTCTGGCTCCACCCCCTCTGCAAGGGCCCGCCCAGCACTTCGGCTCCACCCCCTCTGCAAGGGCCGGCTCAGCACTTCGACTCCACCCCCTCAGCAACGGCCCGCCCAGCACTTTGGCTCCACCCCCTCTACAAGGGCCGGCTCAGCACTTCGACTCCACCCCCTCAGCAACGGCCCGCCCAGCACTTTGGCTCCACCCCCTCTACAAGGGCCGGCTCAGCACTTCGACTCCACCCCCTCTGCAAGGGCCCGCCCAGCACTCTGGCCCCACCCCCTCCACAAAGGCCGGCCCAGCACTCCGGCCCCACCTCCTCCACAAGGGCCCGCCTAGCACCTTTGGCCCCTCGGAGGACAAAACCGAAGCCCTCATGGTCCCGTTTCTGCAGCACAGCCACCTTGTCCTCGATGACATAATCACTAAGGAGAGAGCAGAGAGGGTGGGGGAGCCAAGCTGACCATCCCATGCCCCAGATGGGGCCCAGCAGGGCACGGTCTGCACACTCCCCTCGCCCTCTGACCTCTGCATCCAGCCTCTGTGGATGGCTCCCACCCAGCCAGTGCTGCCACCCTTCCCATCCACATGCCCCCACCGGCATCCCTGGCGTGTCCCCACCTCCTGCCCCCACCACATCCCTGGCGTGTCCCCGCCCCCTGCCCCCACCATATCCCTGGCGTGTCCCCGCCCCCTGCCCCCACCAGCATCCCTGGCGTGTCCCCGACCCCTGCTCCCACTACATCCCTGGCACGTCCAGACCCCCACCCCGCTGTACCTGTGCGACGTGAGGCTGTCATAGGAGCCCACCGTGTAGTGACGGAAAAGCCGCTTGGTCCGATCCTCCCGCGTTTCTGAAGGGAGTTTCAGGAGCTGATGGAGGGGTCATGTCCTGCAACTGGACTGAACTCCCCCAACCGTTCCAGCCTGCCCACGTGCACCCATAAGTGCCCAGACAGAAGGGGCCAAAACCTGGGCCCTGGAGCTCAGAGGGATTGGGCGGGAAGGCTCAGGGGCCTGCGGGAATCCTGGGCTCTGGGAGTCCAGGAAGGGCAGCAGCCTAGGCATCCCTCTGTGGAGTGCCAGAGATGGAGACTGGACAGGGCGGGGCCTACCGGAGTCACAGAGCCCCCAGTGAAGGAGAGTGGGTGTGCATCTATGAGTGTCTGTGATGCAGTCATGTGCAAGGGTTGTGCTCACGTGTGAGTCTCTCTACAAGTGTCCACGTCTGTGTGTCCATGACCTGCAGTTGTATGTAAGGGCTGTGCTCATGCATGTGTATGAATGTCCATGGCCTGAAGTCGTAAGTGCTGTGCTCATACGTGTGTATGCGAGTCTGTGTATCCATGATGCAGTCATGTGTAAATGCTGTGCTCGTGTGTATGTGTCTGTGTGTAAGGCTGTTCTCGTGTGTGTGCGTCTGTGACCCTCAGTCATGTGTAAGGACTGTGCTCATGTGTCTATGTATCCATGACTCACGGTTGTGCATAAGTGCTGTGCTCTTGTGTGTACGTGTGTGTCCGTGACCCTCAGTTGCATGCAAGTGCTGTGCTTGTGTGTGTGTGCGTGTCTGTGCGTCTGTGTATAAGGGCTGTGCTTGTGTGTGTCTGTTTATGAGTGTCCATGACTCTCAGTCATGGGTAAGGGGTATGCTCATGTGTGAGTCTATGTCCGTGTATCTGTGACCCATGGTCATGTGTAAGTGCCGTGCTCATGTGTGTACGTGTGGGTGTATCTGAGTGTCCATGGCCTACAGTTGTAAGGGCTGTGCTCATGTGTGTGCATGTGTGTGTCTGAGTGTCCGTGGCCTGAAGTGCTGTGCTCATGCGTGTGTGTGCACATGTCTGTGTATCTATGATGCAGAGTCATGTGTAAATGCTGTGCTCATGCATATGTATGTCTGTCTGTGTCTGTGACCCAGAGTCACATGGAAGGGCTGTGCTCATGCGTGTCTGTGTGTCTGTCTGCAAATGTCTGTGGCCCACAGTTGTGTGCAAGTGCCATGTTGTGTCCCCACAGGCACCGGTGCAGAGCAGCCTCAAGTTGTCACTGGACCCCTCACCACGACAGCCTCTTGCCCTCAGACTCATGGGGTCCCTGAGCAGGGCTGGAAGTCCAGGTATGGAGGGTGAGCCTCTTCCCTGATGTCACGGCCCCTACAGGACTCCCCCCAATCCATCCTCTTGATCTCAGAGCCCCACATGGCACTGCAGGGCTGGTCACTGTCACTGCTCCACCCTGGCTTCGTGATCTACCAGCTGCAGTGTCCAACCCACACTGCAGCCACCACCTCTGCCCTGCTCTAGAAATGCTTCCCCGGCCACCTAACCCAACTTCCCAGAACACGGAGGCCTACAAGGGCTCCACCTCAGCTGCGCCCCCGACCCCCGCCCGGACCATCTGACGAGGACCCAGCCTTCTCTCTCTCAAGGGCACTCTATTCATTCATCAGGTACTTATTGGGCTCCTACTGTGTCCCAGGCACTGTTGGCTTCTGGTTCTGGAAACACAGCAGAGAACTGGACGAAATTTCAGTCCTCATGGGGTTTATGAGCTATTTGGGAAAAAGAATAAACTAACCAAAAATAAGCAAAAACATAACACATCAAGTGCTGACAAGAAATGCTGATAAATGCCTAAAGAAAAATACGCAGAAGAGGGGTGCAGTGACCATCTGCATTCGGGGTGGCTATGGAAGGGCTCCTCAGGAAGATGGGGGGTGGCGTGAAGGTGGAAGGACTTCCAGGGAGGGGACAGCAAGGCAAAGCCCACAGGCAGGAGTCTGCCGAGGGTGTCCGGGGCAGTGAGGGCCTGTGGGGCTGGGCAGAGGGAGCAAGAGAAGCCAGTAGGAAAAGAGACTGAGGGGGCCCCATGATGTTTGAGTACCTGCCTCCCCCACTAACTGTGAGCTCCTTGAGGGTAAAGACCACATCTGATTTATGTCTGTAATCCTAGTGCTTAGCACAGGGCCTGTCACATAGCAGGCACTCAAGATGTTGACTGGATGGACAGATAGACAAGTTGATGCGTGGGTGGGTGGGTCAAAGGGCAGATAGACATATGATGGATGGATGGACCAAAAGGAAAATGGATATGCAAGTGGATGGATTCAGTGGATGGGTCAATGTATGTGTGGATGGGTGGGTCAAAGGATAAACGGACACATGTAAGAAAGGATGGATGTTAGACTGATGAAAGAGAGGGTGGATGGATGGATGGGTGGATTTTGTGGGTAGACAGGTGTGTGGGTAGGGGGATGGATAGCTGGATCTATCCATGGGTTGATGGGTGAGTAGATGGATGGCAGGACTGTGGGTGGGTCAAAGAATAGATGGAGATAAGAGTGGGTGGGTGGATGGAAGGAGGGGAAGTGAAGAAAGAAAGGAAGGAAAGGAAGGAAGGGAAGGAAAGAAGGGAAGGAAGGAAAGAAGGAAGGGAAGAAGGAAGGAAGGGAAGGAAGGAAGGGAAGAAGGAAGGCAAGAAGGAAGGCAAGAAGGAAGGCAAGAAGGAAGGAAGGGAAGGAAAGAAGGGAAGGAAGGAAGGGAAGAAGGAAGGAAGGGAAGGAAGGAAGGGAAGGGAAGAAGGGAAGGAAGAGAAGAAGGAAGGAAGGGAAAGAAAGAAGGGAAGGAAGGAAAGAAGGAAGGGAAGAAGGAAGGAAGGGAAGGAAGGAAGGGAAGGGAAGAAGGGAAGGAAGGGAAGGAAGGAAGGGAAGGAAAGAAGGGAAGGAAGGAAGGAAAGAAGGAAGGGAAGAAGGAAGGAAGGGAAGAAGGAAGGAAGGAAGGGAAGAAGGGAAGGAAGGAAGGAAAGAAGGAAGGGAAGAAGGAAGGAAGGGAAGAAGGAAGGAAGGAAGGGAAGAAGGGAAGGAAGGAAGGAAAGAAGGAAGGGAAGAAGGAAGGAAGGAAGGAAGGGAAGGGAAGAAGGGAAGGAAGGGAAGAAGGAAGGAAGGGAAGGAAGGAAAGAAGGAAGGGAAGAAGGAAGGAAGGGAAGAAAGAAGGAAGGGAAGGAAGGAAGGGAAGCAAAGAAGGAAGGAAGGAACAGAAGAGAAGGGAAGAAGGAAGAGAAGAAAGAAGGAAGGGAAGGAAAGAAGGAAGGAAGACTGGCCTGGATTTCAAGGCCCCACCACTAACACTGTGATCTTCAGGAAGCTGAGAGTGCCCTTGAGCCTCTCCTGCACGGAGTGAGAAGACTAGCCTTGGAGGCCCCCGTGTTCTGATGCCTGTATTTTCCCATCCTGATGCCCTCCCAGCACTCACCTCTCCTCTCTTCTCTTCCCGCATGCACCATGGTGACTATGCATACCTGCACGCATCCTTCCTGGTCCAGCCACACCACTCAGGTTGGCATCAGACTCTGCCCCCCATCCCTCCGCACCGACCCAGACACGGGAGTGCATGTAGCACCTTTCTGCCTGCAGAAGGACTTCCAAACTTTGCAGCTCACTAGCCTCATGGTTTTCCATTTTGTCGACCAAACAAACTGTATTTATTACATAACACAAATTCACTTTCCAGTTTTATCAATCAGACACAGAAAAGCCAGCGGAAGCAAAAACCCTAGCATGACCTCTCCAAAACGACAACCGACCACACTGGAAAGAAAGAGAGGGAGGGAAGGATGGCGGCACCCCGTCCACGTCGCCGGTGGGGCCTTAGGCAGGCCAGCCTCTGAATCTCCAAGGTCCTCTCATGCCTTCTTTCCCTCAGTCACCTCCAAAGATGCTGCCAGCAGCCCCCTCCCACCAAGTCAGCCTGGGCTAGTGGCGGAACCTGTCTCTAAACCTCAGCACCGCCTGGCCCAGGACAGGCCAGCAGAGCCCCTCCTTGCTTCTCAGTCCTTCCCTGTCCCGACTCCTGTCCCAGAAAAGAATCTGTTTTGGATTCAGGCCTGTTGGAAGCAGGTTCCTGTCCCTGGGCTGCCCTCTGGCCTCTGGCAGAACTTGGTCCCGGACCCCAAGCCAAAGGACACTCATGGCAGCCTCAGCTGAGGACGGAGGGATGGCGCCCTGCTCCCACCCCTCCCGGCGGCCCCACACAGCCCAAAACACTCCCTGACGAGGCACCTCTGACACTGCCCCAGGATGACGCACCCCACTGCTGCTCTCGCCGGGCCATCATCACCCAGGCCTCTAGCTCCTTCACCTGACCCCCAATGGGTCTGCACCCTCTGCCCTGCCAGGCCTTTACCCTAACCCTAAACAAGCTGCCCCCAGCCTCCCTCCATCCACACTGCCTGGCTGCGTGGCTGTGGCCAAACCTCAGACCAGCTGCCCTCTCCCTCCTCGGCATGGCCTGAGTGCCATGGACCCCTGCCCACCCTCACTGCACACACGAGCTCCACTCAACCCACCCAGAGGGGCAGTAGCTACACGCACAGACCCTGGAGCCACCACTGAGGTTAAGACCACGGCCCTGCCCTCACGGCCAGGATTCGACCCCTCTGTGCCTCGACCTCCTAAAAACGGACTCATAATGGGCCCACCTCACAGGACTGCTGGGAGAAGTCAGTGACTTCTCACAGGTCAGAAAGCCTAGAAGGACAGGCACCTGGAGTGTCACAGCACGCCAGTCCAGCACCACACCACACCTGCACACATGGGAATCTGCTGTCCCCACCTGCTGACCACCTGAGAACTCCCTGTCCTCTCCAAGGCTCAGCTCAAACCCCATCTCCGCTTGGAAATCCTCCGACTCCCTCAGGCCAACACAGAGCCCCACTGCATCCATGCACACATGTCCACACACACACGTCCACGGGCACATGTCCACATGCATGCGTACACACACACGTCCACACGTCCACACTCACATATTCATACCGTCAGGGCGGCTGCACAGCCAAAGCCATTGGAACCTGCCCTCATGGTGAAGCCTAACACACCACACACATACGTTCCAGACAACCCATGCCACATGCACACGCTCTAGCCACACCACACCACATGCACACACTCCACACGCCACCCGCCCATGCTCCAGATACCCTACACCACATGCATACACTCCACACGCCACCCGCACACGCTCCAGATACCCTACACCACATGCATACACTCCACACGCCACC